AGAATGAATATAGATAGAAAGAAAGAAAGAAAGAAAGAAAGAAAGCAAGAAAGAAAGAAAGAAAGAAAGAAAAAGAGAATGAAAGAAAGGCAAGGAAGGAAAGAAAGCAGGACAGAAAAAGTGCACAAGATGCTTAACCCAGTGGTTCTCAAATTGTAGGGGGACGGGAAGCTTCCCAAGTTCTTAGGTTTCTTTCATTTCCTTTGGCTTCACAAGACTATGATTTCACAAGAATATAGAGCATGCAGAGTCATGTGGACTACTTTTATGGTACTTTTATGTGATTTTTGAAACTGGACAGTTGGTCATAATCCTCTCATGTCTCATCCATCTCTGTTTGTGTTCCACAGATAAAAAATACGGATTTATACCGACATGAGGCCAGTGTTATTTTAGTGCTATAATAATTTTTATTTTTATCATTTTAATTACACTTATAGGGCCAGATTTACTAACAGCTTGCGCCAACGCAAACCGTCTTTTGGCGTTAAAATAGTACTGTCAGTATTTACTAAAGCTGCGCAGTGAAGAATTAGCGCTGAAAAGGCATGGACACAGTTATTTTTGCGCCTGATCTTATTGAATATGCATTTGTAGGAGTTTCCCTTTAAGACACAAAATTTATGGGAGGAGAGTATTAAAATGAATCACGCAACATGATTTACTAACATTTGTGCTTGTCATATTACTGGTATTTGCGCCATTATTTAATGCGGAAAAAAAGCATGTCTTAAAGCAGATGCTAATTTGCGCTGCTCTTGGTAGATTGTGATGGTCATTATGGAAATTATCTGGCTGCGTCTGTGTTCTTTAATTTGCGCATTGTCAGTAAATCACCCGCAGAAATTTCCACTCCCATTAGTGCTTTTTTGGAATTGCGCTCTCATGCTAATTTGCCCATTTTAGTAAATTTGGCCCTTAGTCATTGATTTATGCTTGTCATTTTTATTTGTTTTTAAAAATATTTCTAAAAAGTATTAATTTATTTTTATTTAATTTTTGGATTTTCAGTAAGTACTTTTAGTACATTTCTAATTTTTGATTAGTTCAAGTTTTTCATCTAATATTTATATTTTATTTCAGCTTTATTTCATTTAACGAAAAATCTTTTTTTTTAATAGTTTTATTTCTTGGTAACAATAAAAACGCTGCATGACGGTGAATAAATGGCAAACGTTTGATTTCTGGGTGAACTATTCATTAAATTTAGCTTAATTTAATTATTTATATGAATTATTAATATTTTATATACAAACTTTGCAAAAGATAATGTAGGTCCGCTGACAATAAATGATTTTCTTTATTTTTTTTTTACTTTTAACTCATTATTCACAACAGTGAAAACTATCAAAATTTAGTTTCTTTTTTGTCTTTTTTTTTATATACAACAAAAACTGACAGATAAAAAATCTTTTTTTTTTTCCATTTTTTTTTCAATAAAACCAAAACTTCACTTCTAATTTGCTTTACGACAAATCGCAATCTGTCAAACAGTTCCCCATTATTCAACAAGTACACACATGCTAACAAAATTTGCCAACAATGCGGTTGGTTGATTACAGTGGGAGTGTTAAGGTTGTACAAAGGTTGTTCCTGTTACAAAGGAGTCATGACAGAACAAACCGAGAACCACTGGTTTAACACATATGTGTGTAAGAATCAGTTTGAGTGAAAAGCGTGAAGTCGGAGGCCTGCGAGGTTATCATGGTATATAACCTCTGAGTTTCTCTGCACTCACTCACTCACTCACTCACTCACTCACTCACTCACTCACTCACTCACTCACTCACACCTGTGGCTAAATTCTAAAAGGGATGAGTTATGGCCACCTGACTCAGATTCCAACGGGATAGTGGAAAGGGAAAGAATGCTGAATGAGATGAAAACAGATGAAAACAGATGTATGACTCAGGTAGGGGGCAACTGGAGCATGACCCCTGGTTCTTGATGAGTCTACACATACAAATCCTCTGCTCAATTGTGGTCAAACATGCCACGCTGTCAGGAATGTACCTGTGAGTGGAGGAATGAGCCCGGGTGGAGGAGTTGTGGGATCTGGAAGACTGCCGGCTGCCAGGAAAAGGTTCCTCTGCTCTGTGTCCAATGACTCTCTCAGTCGCCGGTACATTTTTGGAGATATACTGCAATTAGAGAACAAAAGAGGCCTTCAGTTACAGACTGATGATATTACATCACAACCAAACCAATTTTATTAAGAGGAGTGACGTACATCTACCATGGGTATCTCTTCAGGACCAGGGCCTGGGTGATTGGGTCCATTGGCCAGGTTGCGGTTGGGATGATCCACATAAATGTTCTGCCTCAGATGATTGTGCATCTTCTTCCTCTGTTTCCTGGGGGGGATGCTACAGTGAGGCAATGTCACTCTCTCAGACACCGGCCCAGAGTCACAATCATCACATCACATTTAAAAAAGTCTTGCTACTGCTCTATGTTGCTGCTAACTAATTTTTCAACATCCCATTTAGTCATTTTCTGACTCTTCTGAATAATGCTGTCTTTCTTTTAAATATATACCACTTGGACTGATGTTTTATTATGTAATGTAATTACATTTATACATTATTTTAAGGCACAAGAGTTCAAACACACTCAAAAACTTTCCAACTTTCCAAGCAAAAGTAATATTAAAATAACAAAAAGGTTTAAAACATATTTACTCAATTCCAAATTAATTCCAAAGCAAACGTAGCTTTACAATTTACCAAACTGTATTTTTTAAAACATATTAATTTGGTTTTAATACACTATTGTTCAAAATTCAGTTGGGGGTCAGTAAGATAAAAAAAAAAATCATACTTTTATTAGGATGCAATAAATTAATCAATATTGACAGTACAGACGTTTCCATTTTTAAATATATGCTGTTCTTTTGAAATTTCTATTCATCGAAGAACCCTGAAAACAAAATCGTGTTTTCCACAAAAATATTAACTAGCACAACTGTTTTCAACATTGATAATAATAAGAAATCATCATCAGCATATTAGAAGGATCATGTAACCGTGAAGACTGGAGTAATGGCTGCTGAAAATTCAGCCTTGCTATTACAGGAATTACATTTGAAAATATATTCAAATTTTGAATTGTAACAATATTACTTTCTAAATGCAGCCTTGGTGATCATAAGCAATTCTTTCAAAACCCCCAACATGTTGAACAGTAGTGCACTTTTAAAAGTTCATACTTATAGTTAATTTTCATAATATGCGATTTCAGTTTTCATGGAAATTTGTCATACAATTGAGGCCAGTCAAAAAATTGACAATGGGCACCATTAAATATTACTACTACAGTAATGTCGTGTTTACAATTCTGAGTAATATCGTTGCCGTTGTGCCTCATACTTACTTGGTTTTGCAGTAGGCCACCACACAGACTATGCCCACCACCAAAAGAGCCACACAGATTCCGGTGATTGTCAGGACTCTCTTCTGATAGAGCTCCTCTGCCTCTGCACATTACCACACACAACAATTGTCAGACTCATTTACAACTCAAACTGCTTCTAAACTCTCTCGTAAACAGTTCCCACTGCTGCCCCGATCCTCCTTCAAGTCATCTAGTGATGAGATATATCATGTACGGTTTGGATTAACATGTTCTTTCTATGGAGCATTTAGCATGACTCAGATCCCGTACGCTCTCATTAACTGCATGGATATGAGAATTAATCGTGAGATGGGAACGAGGCTCAGGCCTTAACAAGGGCTTGAATGGACCAGCTCAGCAGTGGAAACTGCTTGCGTGAGGAATAATGTAAACGTATCATTATCGTGGACGATAGGGAAGCGGTCTGTCTGAACGATCTCCCGATGAGCACTGATGATTTCTGTGAGTCACTCCATGGATGCCTTCCTCCACTGGGGGGCGTCGCAATTCAGCTCAATTTACAAGCTCTAACAGCATATCAAGAGGACAATTGAAATGTGGATGGATGTTTGGGACAAATTGGTTTAAGAAGTGATTACATGGAGGCACAGAAACAATCATCAGGGTCTTTGTTTGGCTTGGTCAGTTACAGTTTATTAATGTATTCATAACCAATCAAATCATGGATGCATAGAAATATTTAAAGGAATATTCTGGATCCAGTTATCAAACTGAGCTAATTTGACAGCATTTGTGGTATAATATTGATTAGCTTGTGCTAAAAAAAAAAATGTAATCCTTTTTATATAAATATTTTATAAAATTATAAAATCCATATTTCTGCTTTCAAATCCTTCAAAAGCTTTCCCTATTTACTTCCATAGGAAGTGCCTCACTGTAACCTCGATTTTTGCTTTTTCAAAGAAAACAAGGGATGAGTCAATTTATGCAACAAACCTTAAACTGAGCGTAAAAGCGTTTCAGCTCAGAGAATGCACATTTTAACAAAATAATTGATGTAAGTGTTTTTATAAAGTTATAAGCTTCACTGTAACCTTGAGTTTTGCTTTTTTAAAGAAAACCTTTTTTTTGTAGTAATTACGCCACATGCTGTAGATTGAGCATAACTTGTCTGAACCCTGAATATTCCTTTAACACAAACTGAATGTTGGGTATAATTCAAAAAGAAATGTTTTTTTTTTTATTTTATTTTTTTTTATATCGAACCACAGACTACATCCAGCCTTCTGCCTTTTCCTTGGAAATGGTCTTTGGTTTGGTCTCACAGACCTTCCAAAAGGAAGAAAATGTGTGTCTGAGAGAGATGGGGGCTAGTTAGGGAAGAAATATTTCATAATCAATAATGAAATAATCCAGCTGTCGTTTGCCCGGTAGTACAGAGCAAGGAGGAGAACATTATTTCTGAAGGTCCTCATCTGTGTTGATAGGAACGGAGCTGATTTCATAGAGAGCCTAGTTTACAAGTACCGTAAAACGGACCATTTTCAAGGGAAAACAGAGGCTGGTTTTGTAAGCAAAGGACAGACAATTGGGAGAGGTCATATAAACAACCTAATTATGGTACTAATGCAATTTGGCATGCTAGGGCACTAGGATTCAGTTTGTACAAGCAAGGTAAAATTAAGAACATAAAAGAAAAGAGAGACTGCATTCAATTTGAATCATAATCAGCTGCAGAAATCGCATTGGTGAAGCAGAAGAATGGCAAAGTAGCGTGCAAGGATAGAGACGAAAAATAATTAAGCAAAGACAACACAAAAATGGGCAGATGGAAGAAGGAAAAGAACTTAGTTTAGAATAAGGGGAGAAAATGAAAGTAAAGGAAGTATTTTGTTTGGGGAAACAAAAGGGAACTCTTATCCGCAGCACTCATCCATATTGCCTTGAAAGTCAAAGCCCCGTGCGATCAGCTGTACAATAAAAGTCCATCTGGAAAAGTTGCAGCTGGTCATGATCAGATTTTATGTAAACTCTTTGAAAATATAGCTGTACAATCCCTGATGTCAAAAGTTAAACTGCAAAAATTATTTATTCAGTATTTTTGTTGTTTTCTAGTAAAAATATCTAAAAAAATCAATGATATATTAGCTTGATAAAGAATACTATGTGAAGTATTAAGACTTGTTCTCAGAGAATATATCTTATTGTTTTAAGCACATAATTACATTTCAAATACATAAAAATTTTCCAGTTTTAAGTATTTTTCCAACAAAATTTTGTTTTAAAATATAAAATATCTACCTTTTGTAGTTACCTTTATCTAAAATGACAACATTTTACAATTTAGTTTGTTTAAAAAATAATAATTGAAAAAAAAAAATATTACACTATTTTTAAAAACATAAAATTAATAAATATATACATTAATATGAAATATGAAGTCTTAATATGAAAATAAATACTGATTTTATTTACTTTTCTGGTGCAAACGGGCAAAATCCTGAAAGTGCGTGTGCAAGGGAAAATGAACACGTTGATCCAACGTGATCCAAGACTTTCCATGAATAACATAATTAGATTCAATGTTAGTACTACTCCAGTGCACATAAATTCACTTGAAGCTACACACTTGTTATGTTTACCGCTCAGTAAATACCAGGATGGTGTGTAAAACTGACGGAGGTTTACACAAATCACCCCCGCATAATGCTAACTCCTTAAGAGCCTGCGACTATCTGCATACACTTGAAGAAATCTGTGTACATCTTCGTGTTGATGACAAAAAACCGACTCATTTGCCGACTCTTTATGTCGTTCCAACCAATTCAACTAAATATATGGTTGTCAAAAGTCTTACGTAAAACTTGAACTAACTACGCACGTTGTTAAATGCTCACAGTAAAACTGTTTCTGGCAACGTCTCTGGGGCTGCAAGAACATTTATGGCTAATTTTAAATAGGTAAAACAGTGAGATGATGGAAACTTCCTAGGCTTTGTTAACACTACACGCAAATACAATTTAGTTGTCAAAACTGATCTTTTGGACATTTTGCAAGGGATAAAATTTAAGTTGTTTGTTCAAATAGTGAAGAGAATATATGGCGTTTGTGCATTGGTTGCTACAGATGATGCGGTATGGATTTTTGGGTAAAAGTCTGCTTATGGTATTGGTAAAATAGTACATTGAGGGCACATAATGGCTCCTTAGGGGACATTTTTATACACCTTTTTAAGGATCAATAATATGACATTGCCTTTAATGTCAGAAATGTCCTGATATAATGAGGAAAAAA